TGAGTTCTTCCACCCACCACAGCTCGTATTTATCACTTCTCCAAGAAAAAAGTAGTCATGTCAACATTAAGTTATTATGAGCTCTATTCCATGATTGGCTCAACTTTTCTTCTTTACACAGAAGTCGACGAGAGTGAACACCATGCACCCACTAACAAAATAATGTTGACGCAGCAAGCAAATATCGGGAGGTGTGAATGTTTCTCATTTTCCGGTTATATACTTTAAAGATGGGACGTTCTGAGAGTGAAATTCAGGAAAATTACATAAAACTGCCGTCTATTTATCCATGCTGTCAATTAAACTGTCAGAAAAAACTTAGTGCTATAATTCCTCCATAAATTGCTCGCTCACTCGTGTGATGACTTTAATACGTGCTATAACAACTTTCCTCTCATTGTTGACTCTTTGTTAGGTTTGTTGTATATATATTACATCTTCATAATTCTTAGTCTCTGGCATGAAAGCAACGTTAACCTCTAAATGTCTCCCTCCCATGTACTGGTCGTTTACGTAACACAAACAACATGGGCGAGAGGTAAACAGACCTAAACATGCATTGTTATATCCCGTACTTTCTAAAAATAAATATTGTTTAAATAATACATCAGGGATATATACGGGGATACTGTTTATCGTTTCTCAATCAAGATTTTTTAATGGTTATTGTTATTAATATTATTATTATTTTATTATTATTATATTTTCACCCCCAGGCCCTCATGTGGGTCAGTGCCCAGTGCCCAGATAGACTAATCCTCGTAAAACCTCCTTGGGTACAATTAGGCAAGCCCCTGGGTAAAATATCAATGAATCCGCAGGGGTGAGTCGTACTCATGGGCCGAACACCCGGAGTTTCAATCACATCTCGTTCGTTGACGGGGGTCGTAGTGTTTACAATCAGACTTTAAAAAAAATTAGTCACGAAAGACACGGCACTTGGCGCTTGAGGGGGAGGCGTGACGGTAAAATAAACTAATTTAAATATTATAAGTTAATTTTATCGCCACACCTCCCTGCTGAGCGCTGCAGTGCGGTGTCCTCCTAGACTAACATTTTTAAAATCTAGTTATAAACACGACAACCTCCGTCAAGGAAAGAGGGCGATTAAAACTACGTGCGCAAGTCATCGTACTCACGAGGCTAAGAAACCTGAACCAATGGACTAATTCATTGTACTCAAGGTGTTGGCACCGTACTGAAGGAGTTACCTTAGACTAAAAACATAGGAAAAAAATACTAATAACCAAATTCCTTGGCAATATTGCTGGGTTATACTCACACAGGACTACCGAATTACCAATTAATCTGTTTCTATTCGTACAAGTTACCACCTTCACTACTACTCCACACGCAGGGACTAATACGCACCTCGTTCAGGTTCCTCCCCACTACCAGAAGCTGGGACAAAACTCTGAGATACTGAAGCAGGGAGACGCGTGCCAGGAGAAATATCTCATTTGACTTACTGAAGAGGCTGTCAGGACACAACCTCGGTAGTTCTCCACTTATCATACAGGTGAAATCTGGCGGACGAGTGTAACGAATATGTTGTGAGGGTAGAGATGGTGGTGGTAACAGTAGTGGAGGTGGTGGTAACAGTAGTGTGGAGGTGGTGGTGGTGGTGGTGGTAACAGTAGTGTGGAGGTGGTGCTGTAGGTAAGAGTAGTGTGGAGGTAGTGGAGGAGGCAGTAGTGGGGAGTGAGGAAGGTGGTGGAGGAGGCAGCAGTGTGGAGTGGGGAAGGTGGTGGAGGAGGCAGCAGTGTGGAGTGGGGAAGGTGGTGGAGGAAGCAGCAGTGTGGAGTGGGGAGATGGAAGAGGCAGGTAGTGTGGAGTGGGGAAGGTGGTGGGGGAAGGTGGTGGAGGCAGGTGGAGTGGGGAAGGTGGAGGAGGCAGCAGGTGGGGAGGTGGGGAGTGGGTGGAAGAGGCAGTGGTGTAAAGTGGGGAGGCAGGTGGTGGAGGTGGTGGAGGAGGCAGCAGTGTGGAATGGGGGAGGTGTGGAGGAGGCAGTAGTGTGGATTAGGGGAAGGTGGTGGAGGCAGTGGGTGTGGGTGGGAAGGTGGTGGAGGAGGCAGTAGTGGGAGGTGGAAGAGGAGGTGGAAGGGTGGAGTGGGGTGTGGAGGGGCAGAGTGGAGAAGGTGGTGGAGGAGGCAGCAGTGTGGGTGGGGAAGGTGGTGGAGGAGGCAGCAGCGGTGTGGAGTGGGGAAGGTGGTGGAGGCAGTGGTGGTGGAGGAGGGGGAGTGTGGGTGGGGAGGTGGTGGGGGTGGGGTGGAGGGGGAGCAGTGTGGAGGGGAAGGTGGTGGAGGAGGCAGCAGTGTGGGAGGGGGAAGGTGGTGAAGGTGGTGGGAGCAGTGGTGTGGAGTGGGGAGGTGGTGGAGGCAGTGAGGGTGGGTGGGGAGGGTGGTGGGAGGCAGTGGTGTGTGGAGTGGGGGAGGGTGGTGGAGGAGGCAGTGGTGGGAGTGGGGAGAGGAGGAGTGGTGTGGAGTGGTGGAGGTGGTGGAGGCAGTGGTGTGGGAGGGGGAAGGTGGTGGAGGCAGTAGTGTGGAGTGGGGAAGGTGGTGGAGTGGGGGAGGCAGAGGGTGTGGAGGGGGGGGGAAGGTGGGGGCAGTGTGTGGTGGGGGGGTGGCAGGAGAATGGGAAGGTGGAGGGAGGCAGCAGGTGTAGGCAGTAGTGTGAAGGGGGAAGGTGGTGGAGGCAGTGGTGTGGTTGTGTGGGGAAGGTGGTGGAGGCAGTGGTGTGGAGGGGAAGGTGGTGGAGGCAGTGGTGTGGTGGGGAAGGTGGTGGAGGGAGTGGTGGGAGTGGGGGAGAGAGGTGGTGGAGGCAGTGGTGTGGGTGTGTGGAGTGGAGTGGGGAAGGTGGTGGGAGGCATGTGGTGTGGGTGGGGGAAGGTGTGGAGGAGGCTGTGGGGTGGGTGGGGGGAGGAGGCAGTAGTGTGGAGTGGGGAAGGTGGTGGAAGAGGCAGCAGTGTGGAGTGGGGAAGGTGTGGAGGAGGCTGTGGAGTGGGGAGGAGGCAGTAGTGTGGAGTGAGGAGGTGGAGGAGGCAGGAGTGGGGAAGGTGATGGAGGAGGCAGGAGTAAGGAGGAGTGAGGTAGGAGTGGCGGCACTAACAGTACTAACGGTACCTCGTGTGTGTCAGTAGTCATCATCGTTGCTCACCCCAAGCCCGGCACCACACACACACACACTTAACTTACACCATATATCTCATATCGTCTTTCCCACCGCTGCCACACACACTCACACACGCGCCAACGCACACACGTCTCGTCTCTACCACTTCCAACATAATAATGAACTTCAATGTAAATTCAGTCATCAACACCACCATCTACAGTTTCAGAGCAATTAGAATTTTTAGTTTTTTTTAATTAATTCACAATGAGAATTCAGAGTGCAATCCTTTATGAATAAACTCAGTCCCTGGTCCTTCAAGGCTACGCCACTGTAGTCCATGTTGCTGAGACTTCAACGCTGGGCTAAATACCGATCTTAGGTATGGCTGCCTCAGCGAGCATTGAAGGCGGCCTAAGGGGTGAAGGCGTGGAAAGATGACAGAGATGGGAGAGGAGAAAGTGATGCTAACTACTAAAACGTGTCTAAGAAGGAATATTAGCATTAGTGAAGGAGAAGTGTGTGTGTGTGTGTGTGTGTGTGTGTGTGTGTGTGTTGTTAACCTTGGCGAATCACCTAAACAAACCATCCAATTTAGCATCGGGGGAACTGTAAGTGATATTCCCCCATAGTACACGACCATGTGAGCTCAGGTGACCATCCGCGACGGAACATCTGCTAACACAACCAAGTAATGAGGAATCCCAGTAATGTATTAACGGAATGCTGTTTACTTTCTCAGTCATCTTGGTGAGAGCACGTGGCCGGAGCGTGACGACCAGGGGGTGGGTGACTTCCCTGGTTCCCACGGTAAACTCTCAGCTCCCATGGTAACCTCCACCATAGGTTAGGTACTCCTCAGGGCCTTCCAAGTCCTGTTGCTTTCTTTTGTACTAGACTTAGTGCTCGTGGCCATAGTACTCCCATAGTACTCGCTAACTCTTTACCCCTAACCTTACACACCTGGTTCCTACCTGCCTTACACACCTGTCCCTACCTGCCTTACGCACCTGGTCCCTACCTGCCTTACGCACCTGGTCCCTACCTGCCTTACGCACCTGGTCCCTACCTGCCTTACGCACCTGGTCCCTACCTGCCTTACGCACCTGGTCCCTACCTGCCTTACGCACCTGGTCCCTACCTGCCTTACGCACCTGGTCCACCTGCCCCTTTACACCTGGTCCCTGGCCTTACACCCTGGTCCCTACCTGCCTTACGCACCTGGTCCCTACTTACGTTAAAATAAAGCAGCTCTCACCATACTAACACTCCCTTTGCCTCAGTAAAACAAAACTCTTCCTTACTCATTCCGCCTCACAGGACGGTTTTTGAGTCCCTAGTGTACATCCCCCCCCAGGCAGTCAATTGCTTTACCTGGTCGATATACAGTGTGGGTGTGACTGTCTTTCTCCTGCCGGGATCACGGTGCCAGGTCGATTTCTTGTTTCCTGGACCACTTCTTTACAATAATGTACACATACATACATGCACACACATACACGCGCGCGCACAATAAAACCGCCAAGAGAAAGTCCCTGTACACCTACGTATTGACATTTGACAAAACACAAACATACAAACACGTACACAAATCGAACCACACACACACACACACACACACACTCCTTAAATCAGCTACGATTTATTGCAATCACCCCAATACCCAGCCTAATCTGTGAAAGTTTTGTGTTCGACTGGGCTTATGCTGATATTGCAGGAGTCGTAGACCCTCAGCAATTTGGCAATATG